GCACTCGCGCACCTTGGGGTGGCGTGGGGCGGCCACCTTCTCCCCCAGCCCACCTCCCGGCTCGCGCCCGCCCGCTCCCCCCCAGCTTTCCTTTTAGCTTTTGTAAGTTACACGTCAAAATGGCCGATCTGACATCGGTGCTCACTTCGGTTATGTTTTCTCCCTCTAGTAAAATGTTTATCGGTGGACTGAGCTGGCAGACCTCACCAGGTAAGGGAGGGAGGGGGGGACGCCTGGGTCCCCCCCTTCTTGGTTTCTTTATTGCTCTTTGTTATCCCAGTGTAAGAGCCCCCCCCTCCCCGCCATTGGCTCCCCACTTCTCCTGTGCAAGGTTATTTTTTTAAATAGCAAATCCTTTCCGAGCCCTCTACGCGACCTCTGTTGCCGAATTTCCCCCGCGTGTGCAAAAATATTGCAAAAACAAAACAGAATAGCAACAGAAAACTACTTTTGCTTTTTGTCCTTGATCAAAATTTGCATTGCCTTTTCCCTCTCCACACCTTCTCCCACCCCCCCATCTCTCTCTTTCTCTCTCTACAGATAGCCTTAGAGACTATTTTAGCAAATTTGGAGAAATTAGAGAATGTATGGTCATGAGAGATCCCACTACGAAACGCTCCAGGTAACGCATTTCCTTCTGGATTTTGCCTTTATTTTAGAACAAAGTTTTAGTTTTATTTTTGGAGGTGTCTTCGGAAGTAGCTAAGCGGATTTAGAATGGGGCTCAGGCGCGTGGCTGGGCTGGAACGTTGCTCCCCCCCCATAACCCCAAAGGTTATTGTTAATTAGGGCCGAACTCTGGATACAGAGACGCCCATCTCTCCCGCTTGAAGTCATTTTCCTGTCGCGTCTTGTTCTCTTGTGTAAAATGACATTCAGCTTCATCCACTTTCCACATAGTTTTTTTTTTTTTTTTTTTAATTTAAATTTTTGAGTGTATGCCTTTTTCCCTTTCCCAAACTCTGAAGTCCTCTCTTTGGGAGGTGGGTGAATATCTTAGTGCCCGGTTTCCTTGGACATAAAACAAAGCCTTAAGAAGGGAAGAGGAGGAGAGGAAACTGAGGCGGCCAGAGTGGAGGCACCAGCGTGTTCCAAGTTACCTCCAGCCGCCCTGCCTCCCCCCCCCTTCTGCTTCCCCCACTAACCTTGGTATTTTTCCCTCGCAAGGCAGAGGGCTGTGGGCTAGGGGGAGAGTAGAGGGAGCTGGTGGGGATGGGGGTACGTGGGGGGCAACTCTCGTACCCCAGTCTGCAATATAGGGTCTCCTTGTTGCTTTCAATGGTTGTCACATTTTGTTTTTCTCCCTCTTTGTCTCCTTCCAGAGGCTTCGGTTTCGTCACCTTCGCAGACCCAGCAAGTGTAGATAAAGTATTAGGTCAGCCCCACCATGAGTTAGATTCCAAGACGGTAGGTTGCTTTGTTGTTGTTGTGGTTGTGGTTGCTGTTTGCCCCTTTTCAGTGCGGGTCTGGGCATTGACAGCCCTGTTTAAAGGGACAGCGCCTTCTTCTTTTGCTTCTGTGCTAGCACTGGGTACTTTGAAACAGCTAGCGAGTTGGCTCAGAAGTTCGCCGCGGTGGCTGGGTTTGGGGGTTTCTTTTGTCAGTCTGTCCCCACCGCAGCTTCAGGCGCTGCCAGGCCAAGGCTTGTGGGGGAGGGGGGTCCGTTCCCTCAGAGGGTAGCCTTCCGCCAGGGGACCTTGCAGAGAAAACTCCACCGGAGAGCAAATGGAACTTTCTTTGTCCGCCCAGCCCAGCCTGTGGCGTTGGGAAGGCACAGCCTGCTTCCTGGTGGAGGGGGCAGGGGTTGGGATGAGGGGAGGGGGCGCTCATCTTAGGTCCGGGCAACAGGTTTCTCTGGGAGGCCAAGTGATTTGAGATGTGGTTTGAGAAGGAGAGGGAGGGTAGATACTGGCCCAGCCAATTCGGGCATCCAGTGGGGTTACTCCACATGGCGTCGAATGGAAGGCTGATAAGGTTTCAAAGTGATTGCTCCCTGTCCACCCTTTCGGATCCTTTCATTGGTGCGTGGATACTTTTAAAACATTAGAAGTTTATAAAATCCAGAATTTGAAAGTCCCTAGGTGGAGGTCAGAGAGTAAGAGGGGGAAAAAAGATGTCAGTCTGGAATAATAAATGCGACGATGGAGGAGGCCGGGCAGTTCCCAGTGGTTTGCTTAGCACGCCCCCCCCCCCCTTGCTGGCTTCCTGCCTCCCCTCCCTTCCCTGTGTGCTTACCAGAATTTCACCAGGATTTTTACCACTGCTTAAGGCAGAGGCCTCAAGGTGATATTTGGGATGTGCCTTTGGGCTGCACAGGATGGCCCTGTTGTGTTGTGAGCTCGTGTGTGGGGTGGGTGAGGTAGCTGCCCACTGTAAACTTGACCCTCACTTTCTCTTCTGTAAAGTCCACAGAATTCGAGGGTCTTCGGAGCTCTTTGGTCTTTTAGCACTGAGTGGAGGAGAAGAGCCCCGTCAACCTTTGGTGCACTTGGATTGATTTTGCAAACTCACCCTCTTTTATGATCAGGGAGGTCAGATGTTGCCCTTACCCCCCCAGAAAAGGCCTTACACACTTGGGTCTCTTTATTTATTGTCCTAGACTTGTCAGTGCCTGAAGGGCCCAGCCTGTTTGTGCCGTCAGATCATTTAATATCAAGAATAATCATTGATAAGGTGATAAGGAATGTCTGAACAGTTTATTTCTTCCTCCTTGACTTCTTGGCTAGACGTATCACAAAGCTAGGGAGATTTCGCAGGAAAAATTCAAAGCGGATTTGTGATTTCTCGTGGGCTCCTTTTGCCCGGGTGGGAGAACTGGAGTTAGGTTTTAGTGGGTGCTGGCTAGTCAGATCCCTCAGGATCCCTCAGGATCCATTGCTGGGCCCTGGGCTTTTCCACCCCTGTTTGTTTTGTAGACATATTTTGATTGCTATTACTTAGTATAACCTAGCTTTTGACTTTGTTTCAACGTTCAGTGCAGGAGGCAGAAGCGCGGTTGGTTTATTGACATGGAAACGAGGATCTTGTTTACTGTTACCTTAAAAGCTTTGTTTAGGTAAAGGCCATTCGCATCCAAAATAGTACCCTAGTGTTTTCTAGAGGACTAGAGCCCGAGCTAGCTCTGTGCCTCAGTAACTAATGTTTTCATTTGGGGTAGTTTTCTTTCTTTTTTTTTAAATAGTTGACTGGGATGTACAAAAGGTTGGGATTTGCCTTCTTCTTGCCTTGACGCCTCCTAGGCCTCGGAGATCTCAGTGTGGAAAACTGCACCATACAGTGCAGTCCCAAATTGGCTTTTGGTTTTGTAATTTTACTTTTTTTTTTTTTTTTTTTAAATTTTAGTAAGACAGGATCTTCGCTGTACTTTTCTCGCCCCAGCCCCCAGCCCTTCCTGGATTGTACCTCTTTGTTTCCACACAAACAAGGTGACTTCTCTCTGCACCTGTGTGTTGTTGCTCAGAGCCATCAAGCCTCAGGAGTGTGTCTTTTGAGTGAACAGAGCCGAGCATGTGTCTCCGTTTTGGCGACAGAATGGAAATCCACACCTGTTGTATTTCTTTTGTAGAGAAACCCTAGTCAGTGCTGGGCACACCTGTAGACGCAGTATTAATCTTGTTCCTAGATCCAAGACTTGGGTGTGTTTTAGCTTTTGAACAGTAATCTCTCATTTCTCAGGTGGTGCTTACAAGGTTGATTTTTAGGTCTTTAAACTACCCTAATAAAAGTGATTTTTGTTTTTGTGTGTCTTACAGGCTGGGCCTCTAAGGGACCCAGGGATTATCTGGGATGGGGGAGGGGGTGGCGAGTGTCTCACCCCTGCAGTTATTCCCAAAGCATGATTATTTTCTTAAGTGACAGGTTCAGATTTACTTTTTAAAGGGCTAATTTATGATGCAGAAGCCAGAGCTCATAAATAAATAACTTGTAGCAAAACCTATGTCTTTCTCCACGTTGAGCTGTGCTCAAAAGATGTGTGACGTTTAGAAATCTAATGGAAACCAGTGATGGGATTTTTTTTTTTTTTTAAAATTCCTCCCTGTTTTTATCTAGGCAGTAACTTTTTTCTCCTCACGTCAGCTGTTAGACTCAAATGCTTTTGTGGGAATTGTAAAGCTAGTCACTGATGGAGAATCATGTGCTCTGCTAGCCGGCGGCTGATGTAGAGTGGGGAGCTTTTTCCATGGGGTGGAGGTGGGGTGGGGGGAATACCCGAGTCACTGCTAGGTTCCCACTTCTGTCCAGTCGTTTTCTTTTTAA